GCCTAGGTACAACGCCTCTTGTCCGGTTACAAACTCGTGTAAACGCGCAGATCTATAAAAACATTGTTCAAGATCATGTTGTGCCAATCATACAAAATTCAGGTTTCGATAGGGCTACCTTTATGCAAGATAATGCCCCATGTCACAAGGCAAAGGTGGTAATGAGTTACCTTAGCGAGCAAGATTTGGAAATTATGGATTGGCCACCGCAAAGTCCTGACTTAAATCCAATAGAAAATCTTTGGAAGACCTTAGGAGTGAAAGTTATGGAAAGAAATCCCACTAACACGGAGGATTTGTGGGTGAAGCTTCAAGAAGAATGGTCTAAAATTAGTATCGAGGATTGTCAAGAACTGATTCGTTCTTGTAGTCGAATATGTGCAGCTGTCATTGAGAGCAAGGGCTCATTTACTAAATATTGATTGTACATGTATTTTTTTATTTTTTTTTTTTGCCGTTTACATTGTTTTTTCTCAATTTTGTCCCTTACTTTTGGACGTTCCAAATTTGAAAAATAAATAAATAATTGTTATAATTCTTTTTCTATCCTTTGCAAATGATTCAAATTTTAGTATGTTATTATGGATGATAACGACTACCAGTTGTCAAAATTTCAGCTTTTCACAGTTGTTATTTCTAACAAATATTAGATTTTAAAATTTTGTCCCTTAGTTTTGGACTCTACTGTATATATATATATATATATATATATATATATATATATATATATATATATATATATATATGTATGTGTGTGTGTGTGTGCGTGTGTGAAAAGTGTGTGTATATAAATATAAATAAATGTATATATATATATATATATATAATTATTTATATATTATATGCGGTACTTATTAGAAAGCGTTCAATATCAGAGATAGAGCTAACATATTTGGTTGGATTGATATGAATTTTTGACCCTGGGTTTCACGCTTTTGCGATCGTCAGACAAACTGACTGACGATCGCAAAAGCGTGAAACCCAGGGTCACAAACTCACATCAATCCAACTAAATATATATATATATATATATATATATATATATAGATAGATAGATAGATAGATAGAGAGAGAGAGAGAGAGAGAGAGAGAGACTAAAAAAAGATATGCAAAATGCAAAATTGCATTTTTATTAAAAAATTATTATTTATTTTAATCATTAACTTGTATATTAAAATAGTGGGAGTATTTTTTATGTTAAATAATATAACTTTTAATTTTTCCCCTAAAATTAATGAAAATTTATTGTACTAAGCTATGTACCATAATACAACCAACTGTAATTGATATTCCCTTACCTGTTTGTACATCCTCCCAAATTTACTTTCGATTGGTTATTTTAGAGGGTGCGACGGACGGACTTACGGAAGTTACAAAATTTTATATATAGATTTGAAAAAGATATTAGAATTATTTAGAATATTTACTGGTTATAAACAGCCTGCATACAGACAGCAAATATATTAAGCAAGTACAAAAAATAAAAAAGGGGTTTAAGACGATGTTGCAGCTTCTCAGTGGATTTATTTAACCTATACAACGTGCAGGGTTGTTAGCAAAAGGACGAACCCAACATGAAAATTAAAAATTGGAGATACCAAAACCAAATAAGTAAAATAATTTAAATATCTGGAAAATGTTTAAACAGAGGACGGAAAGTGTGAAGATGAAATCCAAAGGTGCATTAGAATAGCAAAAGATGCCTTCCAAAAACTAAGCAGAGCATTAAGAAACAAAAGAAGAAACAACAAATACAAGTGTACTTAACTGTTATGTAATATCCGTGTTTCTGTTTGATGGAATTGTTAGTCTTATTGTTTTCGTGAATGTCATTTAAACAATCGCTAAATCACTGGCAAGAAAACAGAATGCATGGTTGTTTTGCTAACAACCACGCATTCTGTTTTCTCGATATTCAAACTACAAATTGTAGATACCGAAATCAGTCCAGTATATTAATTTAAATATCTGAGAAGTTTTTTTTTTTTAAACAGAGGACGGAAAGTGCGACACTGAAATCCCAAGGCGCGTTGGGATATCCAAGATGCTTTCCAAAAGTTAAGCCAAGTATTAAGAATCCGAAAAACTTCATTAGAAAAAAAAAAGAGTAATGAACTGTTTCGTGATATATGTCCTCCTATATGTTAGTAAATGCTGGGAAATCTTTTCAAAGATGAAGAAGAGACTTGAAGCAACAGATATTTCGTTCTACGGAAGTATGCGGAGGATATGGACGACGAAGTTACAGAGAAAATGAAGAAAAAATGAGACTTACCATCATGAAGAGATGGTTGAGATTTCTAGGGCTCATAATGAAGAAAGGGGGTTTAGAAAATCTGATACTTACAAGACAGATTGAAGGCCAGAGCAAAACAAGGAAAACCTAATTAGTGAGCTTGAGTAAATGGATGGCGGAGCAAGGTTTCAGAGAAATAACAAAAAAGACTATTTATTAAATGCTACGAAGGATATGAAAGTGGAGAGCCGGTGCCGTCTACGTCCTGAAGGGAGACAGCAAATAGAGAAGGAAATGTAGCCATCCTAAGAGAATTAAAAGTCTTACCTGGATTTATTATTGATAGACTCAATCTTAACAATTTAAGCTATCCAGAAAGCAATGCTAATCGATGAATTAAAATCAATAATGAAATGTACATAGTAATAGACATTTTGTTATATACCGTACCTATCAACACTAATAGGTGTGTCCCAATCCGCATAAATACGTTGGACACTATTGTAAGCGGGGGTAATATGCTGTCTAAGTAGTCCATCACTAGCAGTGGTTTACCTACTTCACGCCGCTGGCGAGTATTGTATTTTGTTGATGTTATAAAGATTACCATTTCATTTCCAACCACTGTTTTGGTTATTCCTCCTCCAGTAACCCTTTCTAGGTTACAATACTTTTCAACTTTTAAGCACCCCGAAGACCCGTACAAATAATAATAATAATAATTAGAGAAAAGCGCTATCTAAGCGAATTCATGGTAATTGTTCGGATTAGCTCTTTGTTATGGTAAACATTCATTAGAGCTAGTTTTTAAATTGTGGTTTTAATTCACTTCCTCTCCCCCTCCCCGCAGATAATGAATTGTACATATGGAGACTATTTAGAATTTTCATAGAGACAATGAGGTATTATGGTGAATGTAGTAAGAAAGGTAAGTAAGACTGTTGTTTTGGTGTTAGGAATATTGAGGTATGTCAGGGTCAGTGTTTGTGGCTAGCTAAGTTTAAAGTTAAGAAGACCATCCTTTTCCCCATTCTCCATTTTGGCCTTGTGTCTCATTTTGTAAATATTTACAAATAAATATTGCTCTTCGTTATGCTGCCTAGGCTGCGAGTTTAAGCGCAATGCTAAACCAACTTTGGTCTGCAAAGATTTAAATGTGATGTCAATCGCTATCTGCTGTCCTCCTGATTACCCTTTCTATGTTCTCACTCTTTACTAATGTTCCTGTTTCTAACGGTTTGTCATCTGTTACGTAGCGGTGGTATGACCGGCTATGACTAGCTTAGACAAGTTATGACCAGCGTAGACAAGCTATGACCAGCGTAGACCAGCTTAGACAAGCTTAGACCAGCGGCCCGAGTGGAAACACTCGGGTCTTCACGTTAAAATCGAAATTTGTGTCACAACCTAGCTCAGTGGAACGGGGGGGGGTAGTCAAGTAAATCTTCGGAACTATGCGGCAATAGCTGTCAATAATGAAAACTGGATTATTCTGAACTATGAACTCAAAAAGAAAAACTGAGGAATACAAACATCTTGAAATTAAATATGAGCCCGTAACTAATCTACAGAAAAAAATATTTTGACTAAATTGTATGTCTTTATAGCTGGCTACCCGTCTACTATGGCGGCTAGCCAATCCCTATTGCAGACGCTTGCTCTGGCGCATTTGTGTTTATTCGACACCCACAAAGCCAACCTGTGGTTTATGCTGCAACTATGCTGAGCAGGATTTAGTTACAGTTTCAGGGAAAGAGCGTGTTATCTAGCGTGATCAACAATTTGAACAGCGCCATCAGGCTCAAACACTCGGCCACGATGACTTGTGAATTCGTGTTAGGGTTCAGTCTACCTAATTTCACTCACAATGCTTGCGTCAACTTGTGGTATGGTTTTTGCCGCACACTGGGATCGACCACATCAAGAGGTCTCCTAACTGAACGACCATGGTGACATTCGAACCCGGGTCTCATGGTCAGATTGCGAACCTTCTAACCACTCGGCTACGTGTCCACTACTACTACTACTAGTACTACTATTATTATTATTAAATTAATTGATTAAATTAACTTCTCTTTAAAGTACTAAATCCAAATAAGCACCCTTTCATTTCTCAAATAAATTCGTTTTATTTGAGAGGGGCGCTTATTTTAAATTCCTTGGGGAAAATCAGGCGCTTATGCGGGAAGAGCCGCAACATCGAGCATTTACAGGAAGGTAACATTTTTAGAAAGATATTAACTGCTTCCTTAACAGCAAATAACAGAAGAGACACAGTAGTTTATTCGCATTAACCCGGACAATTTCCAGTGACCTTACATGAATTAAAATAATGCGTCTTTGAATTGCCACGCATTTTTGAGTTGCCCTGCATCTCAGGCCAACATAATGGCTTAATGACCGAGATGTTGGTCAAGGTCGATCTGATTATCAGGCGTGACGTAGCTGCTTTATATACATCTTAATGAACAGATGCTTCTAAAAGGCTTCTCTTTCTTTGGTTTCTATGAGTTCTTCTATGCCTCCCACGCATCGATTTTGTTCTCAAGACGGTCATGGAAATTCATCTGATCATCATCGTCCTTTGAGCAACGTACAATAATGGGATGGAATAGGGAAGCAAATGAGAAGATAGTGACGAGGTATTTGAAGATGGGTATTTGAAAATTAAATGACGGACGGTTTTACTTCTGGAAGTAAGGCTACTCCCCATTGTCAAAGATTGTAAGCGTGATTAAAGATTTGTTGGCGAGAATAAAGGAAGTCAATGTGAAATCGTTGAAAGAAGATAATAAACGAAAAAAAGAAAGAGAAAAAAAAAAAAGAAAAAAAGAAAGAAATCGAAGAGGACGAACGAGTAAAAGCCGGAAACACCGGGAAATATAAAGGCATAGAAAATGTTGGGAAAGTAAGAAAAAACGAAATAAAGAAAATGACAAAGAAATGAATGACCTAAAGGCAAAACGAGAAAATTAAAGATTGTAAAATAAAAAAGAAAGAAAGAAAAAGAAAGAGAACAAGTTAAAGGTAAAAATTTAAAATAAATAAAGAATGAATTAATGAAGGAATGAAATAATGAATGAAAAAAAGCAAGAGAATGAACTAAGGAAAACACAGAAGATACCGTAAAATAAAAAAGAAAGAAAGTAGAAAGATAGAAAAGAAAGAACTAAAACAAAACAAAACATTGTAAAGAAAGAAAGAAAGAAAGAAAGAAAAATAAATAAAAAAATAAAAAAATGAATGCGAATAAACTAAAGCTAAAAAGTAAAAAGAAAATGAATAAAGGATGAAGGAATGACTGAATGAATAAACGACTGAAGGAAATAATGAATTAAAGAGCAAGAGAATGAATTAAGGAAAAAAAGAAGATGCAAAAAATATAGAAGGAAGAAAAAGAAAGAAAGAAAGTGAATTAACTACAGATAAATGTGTAACGTAAAGTAAATAAATAAATAGAGTGAATAAAGAGGTTGAAAAAATAAGAGTACAGAGAAAAGAAAACAAATATAAAAAGAAAAGGGAAAGAACGAAAGAGGAAAGGTAAAAAAAAAAAAAAACGAACGAACGAACGAAAGAAAGAAAGAAAGAAAGAGAAAGGGAAAAAGAAAGAAAGAAAGAAAGAAAGAAAGAAAGAAATGGTAAAGTTGAAATATAAAAATGATGGAAGTGACAAAAGATGGCCTGCAATAAAAAAAAAGAAAAGAACTAAGAGGCAAAATGCCAAGGTGAAGAATACTACGAAGAAAAGAAAGAACGAACAGAAAATTATAGCAAAAATATAGAGATGAAAGAAAGAGATAAAGAATAAAAATGGCCAACAGAATGAAGAAAATAGAAAAAAATAAACAAAAGAAAGAAAGAAATACAAGAGACGGATATAAATGAACAAAAGAAGACGAGAATAATAAAGAAATAGAAAAAAAGAAAGTGACAGAGAAAAAATAAAACAGAAAGTAATAGTGAAATAAATAAGAGACAGGGTTTGAACTAAACAAAAGAAAGTGATAGAGAAAAAGTAAACAAAAACAGAGAGAGATAGAGAACAAGTAAACGAAAGACCGAAATAGATAGAGAAAAAAAATAAACGAAAGAAAGAAAGAGATAGAGAAAACATGAAAGAAAGAGACAGAGAAACCTCAAGAAGAGACTGAGAGAGATAAAGAAAAAAAAATAAACCAAAAGCAGAGATAGAGAAAAAAAAATATACAAGAGACAAGGAGAGATAAAGAAAATATTAAAGCAAAGACAGAAAGAGTTACAGAAAAAAAAAAGGACAGTAAGAGACAGTGAAATATAATGTAATAGAAAGAACAAACAGTTTGGGAGCAACACTCATTAGGACTATTTCTCTATGCAAAATGTCCGAAAACGAAAAATACAAGAAGGGAAGAAAAATAAAACAAAAAACATAACTGAAGTGCCTTCTCAGTTTTTTAATGACACGACATGCACGATGCACACACACAGAGATGGAGAGACGCATGCACTGACACACACACACACACACACACACACACACACACACATATATATATATATATATATATATATATATATATATATATATATATATATATATATACTGGGTGTAACAGCAAAAATGTCCAATTATTAGATTAAGATTTGAACCGTTGTATCTTAGAAATGATTAAAGATATCTTACTGAAATTCTCCGACGTTTTTATAACACTATTGGACACTACTTTGATAAGAATGTATAATTACTCAGTCAGTCAGTTATGTGCCATGTGTGATACATGCATAGGCGATCAAGTATCTTTCGATACATGACTGACGTGGCAGATTTTTTTCTCGCTGTAGGTTGCCATTTTTTCTGCGGTAGACCAGTTGCCATCTAATATATATATATATATATATATATATATATATATATATATATATATATATATATATATATATATATATATATATATATTTTTTTTTTTTTTTGAACAATAAAAAATATTAAAAATTAAAAATTAAAATCTTCAGAGACACTGGGTTGTAGATTAATATTCTTTCTTTTTTTTTATTATTATTATTTCATTTAGATTCCTCGACTAGTCTCGGCCAAAATGGCCATCATCAGAAGAAGAAATATTTCTGCTTGCTGCTAACAGTAAACTACAGAAATGAATATCTTGCTGGAGAAAATGAACTTTTGTCTTTAGTTTTCATTTGTTTTTTTATTTTTTTTTATCTTTTTAACATGAATCTTTTAACATTCCTTGTGTTGGTCAAACAGTCACTATTAAGTTGTTATTTGAAATAAGAGCTGGATGGATCTATGCTTTTGGTCAGTTTGACAGTTTTATTGGTCCTGGAGAGGGGATGTGTCTCTGTTTAGTGTTTGTGTGTGTGTTATTTGGTTCTTAGCGAGTGGGTGAGTGTGTGAGTATGATGCGTGTAAGTGTGTATATTCGTGTGGTTGTGTGTTTAAGTGTGAGGCCTTAACACCTCCGTACGCATGTCTGTCTTGTGTGGGTGAGAAATGTGGGTAGGTTTTGATTTGTAAAGTTATATATTAGTACTATCTATATTGTAAAATTTATGGTTTAGCCCGGCTGGATATTGTGTTTTTAGACGTTGTATCCACTTATTTTAATGGAACTCTAAAATCTTTCTAATGTTATCTGCTCTGAACTTTTCTATTCTCTCAATTATAGTGAATTTGGCATGGGTTTTGAAATCGTGTTTATATATATATATATATATATATATATATATATATATATATATATATATATATGACAAAATGGAAAATGTTTACTTGTGACGTGTTTCATGTGTTTCATACTTCAGGACTTCATCAGACTAATCAACACATGCGCACGCAGAGGGTTGCTGGGAATTTTCGATTTTTTTCTTTTCAGCCGAATTCATTTTTTTTTTTTTCTTTTTCTTTCTATCTGCCAGGAATGGTGTAATGTTATAAGAGCCAGGGTGCAGATTTACTATAGATGACATTGCGAATAAGGCGCTCTGTAAACATTTACGTTGTAGTGAATTATTATCTCCTTTGATCAGAGTATCATTTTTTTATATCAAAGTTGTGGCCAGTCTCATTACGGTGGGCAATAATTTCATTTTGATATTAGGTTACCCACCATGAGTCTTATCTATCTTCGTCAATTCAGATCTATCTATCTATCTATCTATCTATCTATCTATCTATCTATCTATTACTTTAAGCGTTATTTTTAGTGTATACTCGTATTTGAGTTTATTAAACAGTATATTTTTTTCATTTTAGTCTACCGACCTGAATATTCAAGAAATCGTGCTAAAGAAAAATTTACACTCTCTGGAATGATGTTTCTATAATAGAATCTCTCGATGATTCAGGGCGTTAGACGAAAATAAATAGATACACAGTTTATTAAATAAACGGAGCGTCTATTCAAAATGAGTGTCGACTAAAAATAACGTTTAAAGGGATAAAAATCTGACAGATTAATAAAAATCCATTACTCACTCACCCATTCTCTCTCTTACACACACACACACACACACACACACACACACACACACATACACACATATATATATATATATATATATATATATATATGAGTATATCAACATATCTATAGCTTAATAATGAAAAAGTTTTATTGGCTGGTTCCCAGACGTCACGAGTTCCAGCGACTCACGAGGCTGGCATCTCGCTCTCACCCCTTCACTGTCGAAACTCCTAAATATAGCCGTCTCTTCTACTCTAATAGCTTCATGTCTCGCACCTCTCGCCTGTGGAACTCCCTTCCCTTTTCCTGTTTCCCTGTGAGCTATAATCTCCAGCTATTCAAGTGTAATGTCAATCGACCTCCAGTTGCCTTGATCTATCCACTACCCTCATCCTTTCTTCTATCATTCCTATCTGATCTTGTTCTAAATTTTCTGTAACCCCTTGCGTCCTAGTGGCTTCCCGCCTTGCTTGGGGTGAAATACTTAAAAAAAAAATTATGCCACATATTTATTGTACGACATAATGTTTCATTATTTTACTATAATTCAACAATACACGGCCTAAGTGCCACTCAAGGTAGAGGGTTACTGAATAGAGTTGTTGTAAGGGCTTACAGAGAAAGAGTAATGACTGATATTATGAGCATGTGTAAGACGGTTAACGGTTGACCCTTGACTTGAAGAGGCTAAAATTGTAGAGCCCGTTTCGTATTGCAATAGTTCTGGAGAAGAAGCTCTTTTAGTGAAATTTATTCCTTATCAGTGAAATCTGAAGGCAATGACGATGAATCGACTCAGAGTACGTGGTATAGAGGATCCTAGCTGTGAAGGTCTAAATTGGTGGGACTAATGAATATCATGAAAATAGCGGCAGAACAGCGGTCAGTCTGTGGTAATGTCGTTGCAAGGTAGAAAAAATTAATCTCCCACAAGCTCGTGCAAACGCTTTGAACTCGTATGAGGTTGGAAAGTGAAGACTGGATAGCTCCGGCTCAGATGTTGAAGCAATGGTTTGAACTAGCTCTTGTAGAAATAGACCATAGCAGGGAGAGACAGGTACTTTCTGGGACGGTACAGGGAATTGGCCATATGTGCAGCATCTTGAGATCTGGTATGAGCTTAAGTACCAGAAGGCTTTCAAAGCAACGCGCCTCATTGAGCATACAGTCGTCCATCTTGATTGGACTGAGGTTCTGCTCTGTGATGATGAAACGTTAATAGCTTGGTATTGAAGGCATTGATTGATATGTGCGAGCAAGGTCAGAGCAGTGATTAGCTGTCAGTTTCTTGTCATCTGGATTTTTAGTGGTGGTCCCATAAATCTAGATGACCAGAACCTGACAGCTGATCTCTTCTTTGACCATGATCGCACAGCTCAGTGGGTTGGGGTATTAGTTTTGAACTCTTCATGCTGCTTGCATATTATATAGTGAAAACTTAAAATCAAAATTCAGTCGACAAAGTTATCGATCAACTCTCATATATTTAAAGAAGTTAGTATCTGTTTATATTTCTGAGATCAGGTATTATGTACATTATTTACATTATTCGGACTATTGTCCTCTTCTTTGTCGCGATATTTATTACAACGTTTCAGTCGTCGTACGCTCCGGCCTTCTTCAGATGGTTGGAATGTCGGACTGAACCCTTTATTTCGCTCACTGGGGTAGACTGTTCTAGTTCAACTTGCCATGTTTAATGAATGTCAGTTATCAGTTATCTCCTGTTAATTTACCTCTCCTAGTTCCCCACTGCCTTAACCCGGTATTGAACTCACAATCTTTGGTTAAGGAAGTTAGTAGGCGAAGTATAAGCTACTTTATTTTAGGTACCGGACGTCGATGTTGGGGTTTCCGGATATGATCGAATGCATATTCATGCAAATGTCGTCTGTATCAAGAGATTGGCGCCAAAATATCTTATAAGCACGTATCAATCAATATACGTTTATTGATTAAAAAATGTATCAGTCGATCTAATCGTTGACATACTATTGAATCTGTTAATCGATCTTCTGTCGTTTCCCCTAAAATATGACTCAGAGTTTTTATCTGCGTATGCACATCGTCTCCAAATGACATTCGCTAAAAGACTGTTTTGATTGGACAAATCCTTGCAGAAATTATTTGATGACGTCACTGATGATTCTGGTATCGCAAAAGCCATTCATTGTCTTAGTCTACACACAATGTCTGCCTCAATGTCTGCAAAATTTTTCTTATTCCTGAAGTACTAAAAGTTAGTCATCGATAAAAGGAAAATAATGATTCTCTTAAAGACAAAAACAAAAACAAAAAAACAAAAAAACTTAGAAAAAAACAGCAAAAAATCACAAATAGATTCCTGCAGAACATTAACGTGTTATGGATATGTCATTAGTTTTTAAATTAACAAATAATTTAATTCGGGTGAAGTCGAAAATAGAACAATAAACATATGAGATAATTAAATAGACAAATAGATCTGAGACAGCAGATATATATATATACATATATATGCTCCTGAAAAATTTATTTCAGTTGAACTCTCTGGGGAGGAAGTGTGGGTTTGTAAACAGTGACTATTACGGCTAATAATGCAAGACTCTTCGGTAAATCGAATTGAGTTCTCTCAGTCACTGTATGTTTATCTAAAAAATAAATACATTTAAATTCACCTTCATCCCTGCCGTTCTAGTGTTAGAATCCTCGACTGATGCCAATTCAGTCGGGTTTCGATTCTAGCTAGAGGCAACCGGACGTCTAGCCACAC